CGAGCTTGGTATCAGGAAATTAGGAGGCTGCGCTGAGGATTGACCCAATATTGCCGAAACGCGTCTGCAGTTGCCTTCCTGAATGGTCGTTACTAGTGTTCCACTAAACAGCGTATCTCTTTGAAGGAAATTGTGCTCATAAGAGCTGTTTTCCTCTGTACTGAGAATGGAGCGACTCCTCTTACGAAAAGTTCACCTGTGCCGTAGTCCGTGGTATCCTTTTTGAAGCGGGAAGCATAAAAAAACGCGAATTTCTTGCGCAGATTGTGAACTTAGGAGTGTATTTCAGTCTTTGCCGATTCGCTCATCGTAATTTTTGAGACATTTTCAATGAGTTACAACTCTTATTTTTGCTCTAGCAAAAGTTTGCAACAGGCCTATTTGGTCCATAAATGCCGATTTTAAACGATCAACAATATGCGCTCCATGCGTGAGAAAGTCAGGCAATTTCCGATGCAAACAAAATTGGAACTTTCTTATTTAAAATTTATTGCAATGAATTTCAATAAAAGGAGCCCTTTCAATCAGTGAGTAGACAACGCACGTAACACTCCAACACACTGCTGGCAATAATTTTAACATGTATGTTCAACTAATAGCAATCTACGCTACTTGGGTGGTAGGATTTGAGATACTTGGAGATGAGACAAGGTAAAAATTAACGTAAATTCAGCGGATACAAAGTGTTGTACCTTTGTTGAGAGCGAAACTCCCTAACTATATGTATCTCGTATGCGGTGTTTCAAAATCTCCGCTCGATTTTATATTTCTAAAGGAACAAAAATCGACATTATTTTTTGATGTAATTTCAGAATTTGCTTCAAAAATAGAGGCAAAATCACGGAGCCTCTCAAGAATTAACGCTTTTAGTTAGCTGATTTTATTAGAGACATTCAGCATCTCAGGCTATTAATGTCTTACAAGTACGTTAGGTGTATACATTTTTAGTTTTATAAACATTATTAAGCAGTGCATGGATAAAAATGGAAGGTTCAGGTTACAGTTGGATTCGATGGGACGTCCGGGACGGGAGTCTCAGACGACGATGGGCCACCGCCGACGGGAGGATCTCCTGGTAGAATTTTCACTTTGCCATTTATATCCACGACATCAATTCTTGGAAATTTCTCTTCTCGGACTTCTTGGATATACGGTGGGACGCCAATCCCACCAGTTCTTAAAAATTTAACACCCCTCTCGTAGGAGTGCTCGCAGGACTTGAAAAATTCATCCCAATCCACATTGCGGACGAGAAAAAAATACGTGAGAGGTTTTACATTCAACCAGCATTCACAGTTATATTTGTCATCCGACAGTTCAGGTTTGGTAAATGGGACACGCGTCGGATACCCGAAGACGAAACCATAACGCGTATTGCAATACACTTCGCATTCTCCAAGTTTGTATTGTACTGGCCTGAAAAATCTTTTTTCTGAAACAAATATATAAATAGAATTCAATACCTACGTTGTTCTTCATACCTGCATTTCCTCCGATGTATGCCAGACGGCAGTTTCCGGGGCCGCAAACGGATCTTAAACCTTCCTCTTCAAGGAAGTCCTGCCCTTAAAAACTAGCCTCTTATCTCTATTCTCTTGTTCTTTTCTATTTTTTCTTTTGAGGCCTCAGTCCCTATGTCTTTACTTTTTTTTTATTATCAATTATGTTTTCATTCATTGTATGAACAGAATTTTTTGTACTAAAGTTTTATGCGGCAAATAAACAAAAAAAAAAAAAAAAAAAAAAAAAAAAAAAAAAAAAAAAAAAAATACCTGCATTTCAGATGAAAACAACAGACCTATATGAGTAACTCAGTCACAATTGGACGTTTTTCTATCAAACAGACCTATGTGGAGGTGAGAAATATGGGGTGTGCTCGTTAGTTCTTTGGCCGTAAGAGTGAATGAGAATAATAAAGCGCCAGTGACGTCAGCGGCAATGATCAATCCGACTCGCGAGGAGGAGATCGTTGTCGGGGCGCTTTAACTCATGAGCCCTGTCCACGACGCTCTCTTGCCATGCCCGCGGCTCATGAATCCCGCATTTAGTTGGCACATAGGTCTATTTGATAGAATGTAATATCCCGCTTTTCCAATTCTTCAACAGGAATCACGCCCACTTTTACATTGCTTCTTATGCAGCTTCGACGAGCACACCCCATATTTCTCACCTGCACATAGGTCTGTTTGGTAGAAATACGTCCAATTGCTATTTGATTTTCCCTCAATAAAATTTGCCCTCGGCATTATTCCAATCAAGTGTTATTTTCGCAAAGTATCTGTCGTATTTCTAGTGTTTCTTTGTAGTGACCAAATAGACCGTATTATCTAATTCAATATAAATTTTTGAAGTGCGACGCACTCATGGCATGTCAACATGTCAAAAAATCTAAGTCGAGAAAAATATTTTCAAGATACAGTCGTTACACTCTGTCTTAAACATTGAGTCTTATGTACAATTATGACCTCATATATCTTTTTCAAACTGGTTTGTTTATGTTAAGCCAGTGGCGTTATTTCACCAAAAACTGGAGGGGGGGGGGCGAGGCAAATGACCTTTTTTTTGCTCGCCATAATAACATGATACCAAATTCAACCTCTAATCATCCGGAAAAAAATTAGCTTGTCTACGCTATTACTCAAAACCTATGAATTAGTTTTTAAAAAAAAATCCAGTTTTCGGCACGTTTGATTCATTTTTTTGTTTGTTTTAGATTTAGGCAATCTGAAACGCAAGGGGAGGGGGATATGACGTCACTGTGTTTAACTCGGCCAACTTTTAAAGTTAAGTGTGGGGAACAGAATTCAGACTGACCTTTTCGGTGAATTGCCATTCGAAGTGCTCTCTTCTGTTTCGCGTCGACTCTTCTTTTTGACTGACCTAAGCGCTGTCTCTCTTCAGCGGTCAGCAAATTTCCAGGCTCGATCTTCAATCCGTATTCTTCATGCGTGATTAAAAAATCTATCACCGCAAAGTATCCATTCTTAGTCTTACAGCTTTCGGAGAACTCTACCCATTTATGCTTTCGTCCACCTAACCTTTCATCAATTTTCTCCTTAATGGGCTCAACATTCACGAAACACTTGCATTTAGACCAGTCGATGTTCAGCTCTCCAATAGTGAAATGTGTTTTATACGTGTCATTCAAATAAATGTAGCCGAAATATTCATTGCATTTTTGTTGACACATATCATGCGTTATTCTTTTTTTCCTGGAAAATACTCCTGGAAAAGATCAAAAATATTACTGTGAGATGCCTACTAAACTGCGCAAGGGCGCATTACGGGAGGGGATGGGGTTTAAGTGTGAGCGTCAGCAAAATCTTGCGGAGGAGATAAAATTTGTTTTTTTTTGGGGGGGGGGGGGAACACAAACTTTGTGTTCACTGTGTGAAGTTACCAACAAAAAGGTCTATTTTAAAGCACAAGGATGAGAGGGGAATTCTCATTTCCTGCTCCCTCAAAATAACGCTGCTGACCACATGGGTCTCTATGAGTCGCATTACGGAGACGAGAGCTTATTTCTAAGTTGACAGTTTTTCTTATTTTTACTCGGAGGTACGTGCATTTTGTGTCTATTCAATTCAATTGAGTTGTGAGGAATGTTGAAGAGTTGTGAGATGAAGTTACATCACAAAAAATAAAATCACGAAGATAAAAGAAGAAAAACAAAAAAACTGTTGTCACTCTAAATACAGGGGCAGCAAAATCGTTAGTATCCTGTAGCTTCGGTAATGTAAGGGGACGGCTAATGAATAAATCCGCCTCATAACTTTGATGAATGATTTGACTCGATAATTCCGAAAAGAGGTCAACTCCACTTTCTTGAATTTGATAGGAAAGCAAAAGAACTGTTGGAAAAGCGAGGGAACAATTATATTTGATACTGATGAGATTTTATACATCGTCGTTGAGTTGATGGCAGTCAGTAAATCCAGAGCAAAGCTGAGCAACTCAACCCTGGTAAAAATTGGCAATAGGAGCTGCGCTTCAAAATACCATAAGATTTCCTTACCGGCTTTAGAAGGCGGTAGAAAATCATACAGCCGGGCTATAGCTCCTATCGCGGGGATATACAGTTTATCGCCTGGCTGTAGCTTTATTGCGCCATCGGCTATAAAGAGAAATTTTATAGCTGACTGTAGAAGCTACTAAGGGGCTATGACCCCTGGCCGCTACGCGGCTCAACCCCCGGAGGACGCTTCGCGGTCTCTTGGGCCCGCGTCGACAAAAGAACGACCAAAAAAAATGAAAAGATTTTCATAATCGACTCTCATTGATCCAATATTTCCCTGGCCGGGAGCTATTGGATCAATGAGAATCGAATGAAAAAATCGGCATTTGTTGCAAACTTTATGCACGCCAAGACTGAAACGAAACGGAGCGTTTCGTCGCTTTTGAATAGTCCGTAGCAAAGGAGCATACTTTCGATTCACTTACCCTACTAACAGACCGTGATTCAACATTTCCTATTTTATTCAATTTCCCGCTACTTTTGAAATTCCCGCCATTTTTTATTGGCGGGAATTTCAAATGTTGCCTCTCTTTCTAAGCTTTTTGGGCTCCTCTAATATTAAAAAACTTGGGTCCTATTTTCTAATTCTGATTACAGTGGGCTCATTTAGGGACTATCACCTGTCGATAACCGCAAAAATCATGGAAATTGGCCCAGTAGAACGCTCAAACGAACTATGACAAAATATAAAAAGTTACATTGTTTAAATGGAAGAATTCGCAACTTTACCACGTAATATACAAAAACCTGAGTCATATTTTCAAAATCTAAATAAAGCGGGCTCATCTAGAGATAATTCACTGTCATAGCCGCAAAAATCATGAAAATCGGCCGGGTAGAACGCTGGAACCAAGCGTTACCAGATACGCAAATTTAGGAGGTCTCGGAGCTTATATATATGATGAGAGGAAATCTTGCGGCCGGCTGTAAGTCTATAGTATTTTGGAACACAGAGCCTACTACCAATTTTTACCGGGAAATACATGCTGGAGCTGGGGAATAAGGCAAAAATATTGAAATGAAGATGGTCCCTTTTCGGAAAAATTGACACTTTTTTTTGCTTAATCCCGTAATTCTTGTGCGAAAATAAATCTCGAATGATCAGCATATTTAACTGTACCCGTTAATTTACTCCTATTGCTTACAGAGAAACCGTTGTTTACTCGTGTCAAATCGAGCACCAAACTCATTTCGGTATATTTTACGACGGAGGCATTTTCCTGTGTACTGATTTTTTTGGGACATAATTAAAGATGCGGTTTATTAGAAGAAGAGGAAAATGTGTGGTAAAACAGGTCCTTGTTTTCCTAAGATATAGGTCGATTTTAGGAGGGCCTGGTTAGACCTAGGTTGACAATGGGTTTTTCGTAAGGAAAAGATTTGAATTGAATGCAAACTATATGCGGATGTTTATGACTCACTAATACATTCAATGGCGTGGCGTGCTTTGCGACACATCGATAAACCTATGGAAGTAAATCGATAAACAGGGTGTTTGCAACTTAATAATTGATTATTTATCACAGCTTCCAATGAGAAATTGTCGATGATCGATTATTCACGCCTCAACACTAAATGAATTAATCTTGAAAGTTTTCGATACGTTCAACGCATTTTGCGTAAAATTTTGATGATAATACATGTGTGTAGTGCTAGATGACACATGTGCCTTAAAAAACTTAAAAGTACTTTTTCTTTCAAAATCACATTTTCAGAACTGCAAACTTCGAACCGTCAAAGCTCAAGTTTAGTTTTGTATTTTTAGGGGTTTTCCTGTTCACAATTATTTGAGTAACTACAGATACCCAAATATGCATGTAGCTCAATTTTGAGTCTGTCGGCATTTAAGTCTTCCTCTCCGGGAACGGTCGTTTGAATTGAACCCGTTCGTCGACTCACCTTTATCAAAAGTCCTCATGATAATGCTTGGTTCTCCTATTCCATCAAATCCAGGGTTCTGGTTCTCATGCTGCTCATCAACGCCAACTGAAACCCGAACATAGTGGGGTTTTTTGTCCTTATTCTTTTTGTGTAGCGGACGAGCAGCCTGTTCGTACTCAATCTCGATATTCGTTTTTGGTCTTGAGGAGCTCTCGATGTATACCTTTCCGGCACAGAAGAAGTGTTTTTTAATTTTTTTAACCAACAGACTGTAACGGATGCACTTATCATAGCAGAATGTTGGAACGATAGATCGCAGCACACAGTTGCAGGTCTTTCCATCCGCAGTCAATTTTGCCTTGGTGAAAGGCATTCTCATTGTATAGGCAGATTCGGGGCTGAGAATGTTTCCAAATGCTGTGCGGCAGGAATCGACGCACATTTCCAGCGTGTAAGAGCCATCTGGAATCACGAAAAACCAATGCGAGGGAATCGTTCAATTTTAAAAATTCCAAACATGTATGAACCTCGATTTTCCTTGAAATTATTACAGCTTTCGAACCTCGAGATGAATTTGTGGTTTAAGGATCGTTCATAAATGATGTCAGATACGCAGGGGGAGGAGGCAGGGTGGCATTGCATGAAATTTCTCTTGAAATATTTTCGGAAATTTCAAAAATTTATGAAATGTAAGAAATTCATAATTTGAATTAGGTGCTAATTACTCATGTAAAATGCAAAAGTTCGTATACAGTAATGGCGGAACTTTCTTTTCTCAATGATTTCAGCTCAAAAATGATCAATGGGCGATTCAAATTTGAGTTGTAAAAGCTCTGGGGAGAAATTTAGACAAATCACCGATAAATAATTAGTGTATTGGATGATACCACGTGAGAAATCGCCGTGTCAGGTGCCATAATGTCTCTTCAAACCATTAGAGTACGTAATGTAATATCCAATTTGTAACCGATCGAATTCAATATACCGATATCAAAAGTTGACTGCAGGAGACAGTAATTTTGACATTATTTTCGGATTTTGTAAGTTAATTTTCAGCAAAAATATTTCTTAATAATTTTGGTCAAACTATTGAAACAGATTTTTTAAAAAGATCCACCTTATGGTTAAAATTTGGAAATCATCGATCACTCGCGGATGTAAGTAATTTCGTGAAAGTTGAAGATAGGTTTTAAATTTTATTGATGCTTCATCAATTAAAAAAGTTTCCACTGACCTGCTGTTGTGAAAGCCCCCACAAGAACTTCCTCCGGTGGTGTTCTTACAGTATACGTTGATGCGTCTCCACCCGTAAAGAATCTGTCCGGCGTTCCTGGAGCTGTTTGCATAGGACTTCGATAAGGCGTGCCAGGTGCTGTCGCTGTCCCTAAAAGCACACCAAAAACAAGTCTGTCTTGGAAACTTTTTATTCAGATCTTTAACAAACAAATTTCTATAAAATAATTAAATAAATGATATACAGGCTATTTTAGAAAACCATTTGAGCATTTTCGTTCTGAAAATCTTTATTGAAATGTTATAAAAATGTTTTCTGTGTTACATTTTAACATTTGAAAACAGAGATATCCATTTTAAAAATGTTTTTAATAGAGCAACTGTTACGTTTGTATTGGATTTTAAATGAACCCAATTTTGAAGAGGAAAAAACTATTTAATAGGGCTTAGAGGGCGGCTCCCGCTCCCCCCCCCCCAACACGATAGAATTCGCGATAGAAATCTTATCTTATCTACATGAAGCCATATCTGTAAAAACGGTGGGTATCGAACATCCGCCACTTTTAGTGATAACGCTTTGTTAGAATCCGCAAAACTTCAAGAGTGTTAATACCAAGTTTCAGACCTCGAGCATAACCGTTCAATTATATATGAATAAAAAACCGCGTTAAATCTAAAAATAGTGGATATCAGAATTCGTTGAAATAGTAAGTATTCAGCAAAATAATCCCCCCCCCCTCCTTGTTAAATTATATTAGTGTGAGCGTGTCAATGACAAACCTTGACGTGCTCTTTCATTCTAGGGATAAACACTTATACGATATTACCAGCCTTCGTAGCGATATTGGCGAGAAATCGCGGCGAAACGGTCATTTGCGCGGGAAGTTGAGATATTTTGACATTTCAAGGCCTTGTGGGATTGCCGTGGGTCAAAGTCACTTACATATTTTCCGGAAAAATATTTTACGAGCTTTCAGATTGGTCACGTGAAATTTTGCTCTAAAATCAAGTCTTTTCGAGGAAAATGGGAAAACTTGCGGATAAGTCGGAATTCTGAGTAATTTGGGGGGGGGGCTAGAGGAGGGTTCCCGCTCCCCCCCAACACGATAGAATTCGCGATAGAAATCTTATTCTTCTAGTCGAGAGCTTCAAGAAAATCATCATCTTCAAAATTCCCACCGGGGGGGGGGGGGGGGTCACCCCTTACTGGCCCATAGTCTAAAAGGCTTCATATATATTTCAACTAATAATTATGAACTTTTTTTTTAATTATTTTAAAATGATTAAAAAGTGCTTTCAAAACTTTTGATGTCTTTAAATGAGTTTTAATGGTGTTGAAACATTTAAAAACGCACTTTTGCCACCAGCATTTGTCATCTAAAACATTTCAATGTTTAGTTTGAAATGTTTTACTTGATTCTTCGTCTGAAAGAGACATCTTTGAATATACTGGAATTGAATTCAAGTTATTTTGGAATTATATTTTAAGAGTATAGTGCCATTAGGAGTAGTACCAGTTGATGACTTCGCCACGCCCTTGCTTTTATCAGCCCCGCCAGAATATTTCGATGTCTGCATAGAGAATCTATCCGGCGTTCGAGAAGGTGACTGAAAAGGTGATTGAATAGGTGTCCGAGAGGGTGTCTGAGTACGTGTCTGAGGAGGTGACCGGTCTGGTGTATTTGTCGTTGACATCTGTGGTGTCACCAATGTTGAGGCTGTGACCGGTGAATTTTGTTTCTTAGCTTCCATCTCATACTCAATCTCGACTTTGAGTTTTTTATCCTTTAACCAAACTCTTGCAGCGCAGAATCCGTCGTCGCAAGCAAGATTGAGGAAATCGTAGAAGTCCTTCTCAGACAAACGATTTGTGATGTAATCTTTAAGTCTATTGTAATTAAAAGTGCAGCGGCATATTTGTCCTAGAGTTATATCGGCAAATTTATATATCCCGGGTTCAGTAATGTCTATTGAGTCTTCAGGGCTTGAAACAATTTTTCCGAAGTGGGTCTTGCAATGAACTTCGCATTCTTTTTCCGTGATCTCACCATCTAAATTTTTGAATGAAGTTGAGTTTAGTTGAACATTTGCGAGAAAAAATCTGAGTGTGAATAGAATTAAAAAGATAAAAAATAATGGCAACGATAAACTGTTTAAATGGAAAAAGAGAGGACAGTGTTAAAGAATAATTACCTACTATTCAACGTGTGGAGCATTTTATTCCAGCATGTAATGTTGTCTTAATAAGTCCGCGCCAATGTGCTGCTCCACACAAATAAACCATAAGTAAATAAAAGAAAACACACAAAAAAACGCAATTCACGCGTGAAACTTTCTCTCAGAAAATGCAAGAATAATAGTTAGTGGGCATGTCATTAATACTCTTCCACGTGCAAATATTCATGGCTGCTGAATACGAAAATGATTTCTCGTAGTACTCACCAGTTTTCCGTAGTACTCACCAGTTTTCCGTGGTACTCACCAGTTTTCCGTAGTACTCACCAGTTTTCCGAGAAGTTCTGTTCTTCTCAGCGCAATTTTTTGGAAAAATCCTGATAATGATGAGAAAATACCTACACGTGAAATTTTCGGACTCAGCGCTAAAAATGTCTCTAGAAATAGCTTTGACTGTAGACTTGTATAACTATAAGACTGGAGACTTGTGCCATTCTTAAACCAGTCCTATTTTTTGTCGAGCATTGCAAGGTTAACGTAATCTTATATCAAAAGAAATGAGGGATTTTCTGTAGGCAATTTTTTCGATTAAATGGGCATGTGAAATTGTTTAATTTGGGTATTTGTATAATTTGTACCTAGAATAGGTCGATATTTGAAATATAATTAAGTGTTCTCTAACCTTCTGTCGCTGGATAGAAAATGCCCAGCCTACAGACAGCTGTACCATCCTTAGTCTGTTCCAACTTCTCGTATGATGCTGTTATTGGCTCTGGTGAGTCTGCAAAAAATAATCGAAGAAATAAATAAATCCGTAAATTTAAGTCAGATATGAAGGATAAAAAAAAAAAAAAAAAAAAAAAAAAAAAAAAAAACGGAAATAATTTTGCGAAACATTAAAACCATTTCAGGAAGCGATTCAGTGAACTGAGGCAGAATCGATCGTCGTGGTCACTTTCTTAATGCCGCAATCAGACGCTGAATTTAGCAGCTGAATGTGGAAGTCAACAGTCATCGCCCAACGGCTGAAATTTAGCAAATTCGAGTTATTTTCATTCAGATGTGTATTAAATCTACTCGAATAGTTCAGAAAAATCAATATATTTCCGATGGTCCCCTGGTAAAAATTGGTCCGATGGTTGCTGAGAATCGTTGCTGAATTTTGCGCGTCACGCGCAAAATTCAGGCATCGGACCGATGACTTCCACATTCAGCGTGTGATTGCGGTGTAATGACTACATTGTGATTCATTTTTCTCATTTGCATTAATAACAAAACAGTAGTATATATAATCCGATCACCGTAGGTGATATAGGCTGGTACAATCGTGCCAGATCCACACTACCTACGAGTATAAGGAAACTCAAAGCAAGAAACGCCAAAAACTACGGATAGAGTCAAAAACTCAAATGAAACTCACCACAACAGTTCATTTCGTGACCCTATGCCTACTTTTTGGTATTTTTGACTTTGATTTCCCCTCAGAATAATATTACCCTGTTATTTGTAAGAATGCACTTACGATTATAGTATTTAACAAAGGAATGTCTAAAAATCTTATTTGAATAACCTTGAAAGGAGGTCAGATTGATCCTGTTCTTATATCTAGTCTTAATCTATAGTAAAAATATATTCAGAAAAATGAGACGAATAAACAGATCTCTGAAATAATAAAAAAGATTATCCCATTATCCCAGCCGTCATTGCAATCCTTTTTACATATCGGCGGCGTTAGTCCGCAATCACAAATCTCGTTTGCGGTGACTGAAAATCTCCGCCTCTATGTTATTTTTTTAAAGGAGAACAAATTGACAGCATTCCTTGAAGTTTTTGCAGAATTTTCTTCGCACAGAGAATAAAAATCACGGCAGTATTAAAGAATGGGCGTTGATTAGTTTTCCCTTTAAAAAATGAAGTATGACAGGAAGTTTGCGACGTCGCAAACCGAGTTATGTGATTGCCGACTTGCACCGTCGATGTGGAAAAAGATGAAACTCTCTTAATGCTTATACTGCCGTGCTGAGGAAAAACGCTGTATGAACATTCGAGAGTTGTCAAGTTTCCTCCCATTATATTTGTATTTATTAGGAAAGTTGTGAATATGTTTCCTCGAAATTTTCAGGAACTTCAGGTAAAATGCGAATAAAATTATCTGAAAAATTGGAAGGAAAATATTCATAAGTTTACCCGGAATTTCGTGTTTTATCGAAGGAAACTTGGCAACGCCTGAAGGCTCATACGGCGTTTTTCCTTAGCACGACAGTATAAGTAGTAGAGAAGTCCGCTCACGCGGTTCAATCTTGTTTGTCTAATAAGAAGAATGCACGGGCAATATATCGATGGTGAAAGTCAAAAACCACCTATATCGGCTTCCAACTTTGCCGACTTCCTGTCATACTTGTACGCATGTATAGCCGCTTTTATAGCGCTCTCTGGCGCTCTGCGAATCCTAGCCGCCAAAGTCCCCTATCCTCCTAAAGCCCTCCAGGGAGTTGGCAAACCCTCATTTTTTCCAAAACCCCCTGTCGCCATCATTTCACTGGGCGTCCCCTTCGTCTCCTCCCTGGAGGCATCTAATCAAGCAACTTCTTTGGCAGCCTTTCGTCCGTCATTCTGTTGACATGACCATACCAGACAAGCTGTCTGGTCATGACGTCGAATATGATGTCATTTTCGACTCTTATAATCTGACGCACTCTTTCATTGCGGACCCGATCCCTCCTAGAACCTGTCATACTTTATTTTTTTAAAAAAACACTACTCGATGTCAATTCTCAAGCACTTCCGTGATTTTTCTACCTTGTGCATAGTAAATTCTGACAGAATTTCAAAGAATGATGTTGATTTGTTCTCCTTCAAATAATACTATAGGAGCGGAGATTTTTAAACACCGAAAACGAGATACGAGGTTGGGGAGTTTCACCGTCGACGTGTTTATATATGTCAAAGTCCCCTAAAGTATTGCATTTATAAGATTTTCTGAGCTCGGTTTCACAGGTCTTAAAAAAGCTATTAAAATAATGCTCGTTATTATAGCTTGTGGATCTTCTAGCATAGAGTGTCTTAAAGGTCTTGTCACCAAGCCCAGCGATCCCCCCCCTCCCCCCGAAAAATCTCTCCATAAGGGCCATCAGTATTTGCGTCAATTCATTCGACCATCGCGGAAATAAACAAGGTCGGAGCTGCATACGGAGAAAAAACCCTCGTGCGGGGGACCCGAAGTTTAGGTCATATGGATCTCTGAAGTTTTCGGATTGAGCATCTGAACACTTTAGGTCTAGCTGTCGAGGTTCGGATCACACATCTGAAACTTCAGTTCTTACATCTGAAGTACTTCAGATGTGAGAACCGAAGTTGTTCGGATGAGAAAACTGAAGTACTTCAGATGAACTGTACTTTCAGATGAAGAACTGAAGTTTCAGATGTGTGATCCAAACCTCAGCAGTTGGACCTAAAGTGTTCAGATGCTCAATCCGGAAACTTCAGAGATCTATAAGACCTAAACTTCGGGTCCTACGGACGAAGTTTTTTCTCCATGTGTGATGTGGGATTTACATTCTAGCTCTAACACGGGGACAGGTTTTTTGGTGTTACACCATCATCTTAGGGCAAAGCCCTAATCTTTAGCAAGCTTATCTGCAGGACAAACTGACACACTCAAAATGCATGTGGGATGCAGTAAAAGTATATACTTTTTTAACTGACTTGATGCGTTGGACAAGACTGAATTGTGGTTACTGACAAAATCTACTGATGAAGGAGGCGTTGATTTTGATAGAAATTTCAGATTTGTTTATTCCGATTTTTACTATCATCTTAAGGAACGTTGCAAGAACTCTACAGCTGAGATATCAATTTTCTAAAAAAAACCTGTGAATGTTTTCTGTAATTTTCAAAACTTTTACTTCTTGTTTACTGGGACGTATATGCACGAAGAAAAATGTACCGTCATCACCAGGAAAATTATCGCGTCGTGGGGGTGGAGCAATGGGAGTGATGGAGCCAGGCGCCAGAATAAGTAAGGAAGGGTAGAGGAATGATGGAAGAGACAAAAAAATGGAAGAAAAGGAAGAAATAGTTAAGGAAAAAAGAAAAAAAGAGGGAGGAAGAAAAAAGAGAAAGAAAATGAGGGGAAAAAGAGAGCAAAGAGGGAAGAGAGGGGCACAAAAAATGGAGACGAAAATGAAAAGTCATACACGTGGGGAATACAGGTGCCTCCTTAGATAAAAAATTACCCTTTAGAGTTTAACTTTCAAACAAAAAGGCGTTTTTTTTTTTGGCGGCGAGGGCGTCTCACGTCTCTTTTTGAAAAGAGGGCCCTCTTGTTGGCGCCTTTTTTGAAAAGGAGGCAAATTTGGAGATGGTTCGAGGCCTCACAGGCCGAATAGTTGCATAATTTCAAAACTCAACTAACGCAGTGTAGCAGAGTTGATTGGCGAATGAATGCGGCTATTCGAGATAATTCATTGATGAATACTGACGACGCATAAGGAAAGCCTTCATTGTCAAAATATACTTCTTAGCGTGGCCTGAAAAACGGAATATTTGCATGATTTAAAAACCCATTCAACAATGCAGCAGCCGGCGTATCAGTGAGAAACACGGCTTCTGTATATAATTCTTCGAAGAAAACTTCGATAACCAAATCGTAATAACTCAAGATGAAGAAGATGTGGATTACATGCTGCGGATGTTGGCAGAAGAATATAGAAAATGGGGCTTGGATGTTAGTGGGTCGTAAAAGAAGAAACTGGTTGGTGTTTGGCTAAATCTGGATGGAAGGATGGATCGGGCGATTTAAGTTAAAGAACTGGAACTAAGAACTTGAGCCCTGTTCAGATCTCGTTAGAAGAGTAGATAACGTAAGTCTACGAACCTTCTTTTACCGGAGCTTTTCCTGCCCTCCGCCGTGGCATCTCTGAAGTCGTTTCGGTAGGTGGTTCCGTTTCTTCCCCCAGCAAGGGCCTCTGTGATCCTGAAAGCTCTTTCGGCTTTTCTAATTTTTCATTCAATCTAGTGTAACCAGCTCCCTCACCAGGCCGGGGGAAGGTGAACTCTGCGGAGAGAAAAAATCCATAAAAACTCACTCGCTGAATCCTCTGCAGCAAATGTCGAGATGAGTTGGCTCAATACTCGATAACTACCATGCAGAGTTCTTTGCTGAAAGAATTCCCAAGCTCTTGCCAAGGCATTCAAGTTGCTTTGATCTTGACGGCGATTAAGTTAAACAGCAAATTTAGAAGTTAAAGGTGTAAGTGCGTTGTATGTTATAAGGTTCTATTTGTAAATTATTTGGATTGAGCCTGATCCGTTGGGAAAAAAGTACGCTTCATCATTATCCCTGCAATTAGGTTTGGTTTGGTTGGTTGGTGCCAACAATGGTTTTGCATCCATGCATTCAAAAACTGAGGGAATCATCATCCTTTTCGGAAGAATCTGCGAGCTAGGTACTCGGATCTGGCAGTGAGAATGATGACGGTGGCGCTGGCTCGGAAAATTGCTCTCCTCATTAGTATTCTCATGATTCCGTTCTAAAAATTGAGGGCTCACATAATAGCTGAGAGTATACTAGGTAACTGATTTTTGTTCCTCTAATTCCGTCGATAAATCTTGCTTTATAAATTAAGTTGATATTTTTTTTACCATTTGAGTGATTTTTTACTTTAAGGTGATTTGATGGACGCCATATTTTGTGTCAAAACGGCATGCGATACATCGCATCAATTGGTTCTATTTTTTCAGCTACTCGTCATTTTTCTCCAATTTTGAGATCGCAATTCTGTTGTCAGGAGACTAAAGCACTCACTTACCAATTTTAACAACGAAATTCAACGTAAATAAGGCGTGGTTTTTTTAGAGACAAAATATCGTATTCGAGTGCAGTTTCGATATCAGTATCGAATGCGATGTTTTCTCTCTGAAAAAAACATGTCTTTATTACGTTGAATTTCTTTGTTAAAATTGGTAAGTGAGTGCTTTAGTCTCCTGAAAACAGAAGTGCGATCTCAAATTGGAGAAAAATGACGGGTAGCTTAAAACATGGAACCAATTGATGCGATATATCGCATGCCGTTCTGACACAAATTATGGCATCCATCGAATCACCTTAAGTACAAGATCCTCTGTAATGCCTTAGTGAATGATATTGAGCTCTTATCATTTATGAAAAATAAAGTATTGCAAGAAGTTTGCAACGTCACGAACCGGGATGCGTGGTTGAACAGTTCCACTGTCGATATCCCGAAAGATTAGGAGGCACGTTCTACTGAACAAGTATTTAGTCAGTCTGAGGTCATACTGCGCGCAGCACACTTACAGCCTGTGTCACATTATCAAATTACTCCATCAAAATGTCAAGGTCAAGCGCTGTGATTGGTCCAAGTCATCGAATAAGCCAATCACAACACCTGACCTTGATATTTTGATGGCTAGCTTTGATAGTGTGACACAGGCTTGTGACGCGCTGAACGGAAACTCCCGCACGTAGGCTTTTCCGTTCCATTTCATCCTATAACCTACTTCAATAGCCTGCGTCAAGTGCGTCACACTATCAAAACTAGCCATCGAAATATTAGGGTCAGATGTTGTGATTGGCTTATTCGATGGCTTGGACCAATCACAGCCCTTGACCTCGACATTTTGATGGAGTATTTTGATGTTGTGACATAGGCTATCGTCATCCTCACACTCAATTATTTATCGAAAGTTGGTGCTCATTGATCAACATACATTTCCCACTTAATTATATTGCACACTTTAAAATTTCTGAAGAATTTTTTTTTTTTTTTTTTTTGTATCTAGAGAATATTATTTTGTACTTATACGTCATTATTTGCACTCGCAAAAGTAAGTATAGTTTGAAGTAAAATATAAAAATGTCCACATCATAAAGGGCCCTCGATCTATTTGAATCTATTATTTTTATGAATCATCATATAAATGACAGAAATATGTTTATCAACGGAAGTTAACGAGCATGTTTTTAGATCCCACTCCTAGTCATGGATTTGGTCTTTTGGTTTTCAAACTTCATACATCTTTTATGCAATGACAGGACAGTTTGTCACACTTACATGCTTATGGCCTGTGAGGCATTAAGGATACCGCTAAGAACAAAAAGAAAAACTATGCAGATTTCAGTTAAATGAAATGTATTAGGTCACGAACCCTCCGTGGTTACTGGAACACTCCCTGGCTCCTGTGGTTTCCCTGAAGTTTCTTTTGATGGCCTGCCTCCTTCCTTTAGCAAGGGCCTCTGCGAGATTGGGGTCGTCGATCCTGCTGGCTGTTTGGGCGTCTCGTCCTTTTCAGGTCTCAATTTACCGTAGCCTTTGCCCTCACCAGTCTTGATGGGTAAACCTGGAGGGAAAGGAGAATTTCCCATAAATTTATATTTTGCCCAAATCTTTAACTGCAGTAAGAAAGCTTAGAGCGTACACAGAAAAAAATAGATGGGGCTGACGAAAGAACCTTCCGTTCACAGGGCTCCTGGTTTTTCTTTGTTACACTTTCAGAATTGTTCTGTTGTGTGAACAGAACTTCGGTCGTGGAAACAGCGTACTCTGTCTTCATAACGGAAGCTTCTGTGACTGATACAAAAGAAGTGTTGGAGATCTGTGAACAGGACTATTTTTCAGTTTATCCTTCTCAGGACCGTATTTACGCTGATTTATCCTGGAATTGAAAATTCTTCACATCCATAATTGCACATTTTAAAAGCGACCACCCCTATACTATTTTTTTATATATAACGAAGAAACTTTCATCTTGCTACATTTGCCTAGAGTATTCATCGCACGGAAGAAAATAATCACAGAAATTATAAGAAAATGAAAAAAAGGGAAACGAAATTTAGTAGCATGCATGCATTCAAAAGCCCCGTTAAGATACTAGTTTGTCTACCTTTTTTCAGCTTCATACGCCTTTTCTATATCGGCGAAGTGGCTCATCACAATTATACCCTTATGACCTTAGAGGCTCATAAAGTCTCATAAATTGCACATGTGCAGACTGAGTACCATTGTTCGCGGTACGCCCTCTTTATTGACGCGTCATAAAGAACGAAGTTACATTTCATGCAGTTCTGTGTCCGTTCAGCAAGATGTGATAGAGTACGAACCTTCCGCGGTTGATGGAACACTCCCTGACTTCCGTGGTTTCCCTGAAGTTACCTCTGATGGCCTCCCTCCTTCTTTTAGCAAAGGCCGCTCAGTGACTGGAGTTGTTGATCCTCCTGGCTGTTTGGACTTTACGTCCTTCTCAAGTGTCAGTTTACCGTAGCCTCCACCCACACCGGTCTTGAAGGAGAAACCTGAAGGAAAACGAAAATTACGTCATAGAAAAGACCCTCATAAAAAAGGTCTTATTTTAACCCCTGCGATAACCCTCTGCATCATGTTCGTTTCATTCTGGAACACCAGTATACGGTTAGAACCTTTTTTTTTTAAAAGTTATTCCAGGTTTTTAATCTATTTGAGGATTCTGCAACCTTGAATAAGTATCGAGTCAGGGTTAGTACACATCCATGCTCCAGGCTTCCAAATTTTCAGGGATTAAGGCCAAAAGGAGCCTGATTCTGCAGATCTACTCGTCAGTTCCTTGAAAATTTGTCGCCATCATCGGGATACGAACCCGGGACCAATTGGCTTAGAGTCCGACGCGCTGACGCGATTCGTTACGCTGGTCAGTCACGAAAAATCCGGTCCATGCATGATTTGACGATCGCGTTTTGGGTATACACATTACAAAATTTTTAAAAAGCTGTGTTTTGCTCGGACACATGAGGTATGTAAATGATGTATCGACAAAACGTCATTAATTATCAGTGTAATTACGAAACAGTGTCGTAACTCAAGGCTATTCAACGCTTAGTCTTCAATCGAGCAAATTTTACATGTTATTCTGGTCTAATAGATGACGGACGTACGTTCGTGAAGGTGATTTGACGGTTGCCACTTTTGTGTAGCGACGTGCGATATATCGCATCAATTCGTTCCATAATTACAGCTACTTGTCAGTTTTTTCGAATTTTGAGATCGCACTTCTGTTGTCATGCGACTATAGAATTCATGTGCCAAATTTGACAAAGAAATTCAACGTATTGAAGGCAGGGTTTTTTTTCAGAGGAAAAATATCGCATTTGAGCCCAGCTTCAATATCAGTACCGAATGCGATATTTTTCTTCTGAAAAAAACCCTGCCTTCAATACGTTGAATTTTTTTTGTCAAAATTGGTACATGAATTCTTCAGTCTCATGACAACAGAAGTGCGATCTCAAAATTCGTAAAAAATGACAGGTGACTGAAATTATGGAACGAATTGATGGATATATTGCACGTAGCTTTGACACAACAAATGACAACCGTCAAATCACCTTAAAGCTTTCCCTTATTTCTCCTCGATTAGTCTCGCATTACATGTATCGATTTGGTTATCTTAAAGTGCGTAACCTGCAACTCAGAGCTCTCGAAAATTCTCGCTCTTTTTTTCCCATTCACCGGATATCTCGTAGCTCTTCAGTCCAGGCAAATTATTTTGTGTGGTGTTTTATGACTATCGAGACTTTAAAGCCTATGATAACCACTCTCGTCATTGAGATTCTTCTAGTCTTTGCCGAGAAAAAACATACAACTTACGTGAATTTATCGAAAGAGGTTACGGTAGCTTACGGACCTTCTGTTAATGTAGCTGTCTCAGACTTGGGTGCCCCTGAGCTTACTTCTGTTGATTCCCCGCTTGTGCTCAACAAAGGCTTTGTAGAATCTCCAGAAGTCCCCGTTGTCGTTGACTTTTTGGACTTTTCCTCTTCCCCTGCAGATGGCGCTTTACCCGTACCTCGCCCAGGCTCCATAGGATCTAAAGGGAAGAGAGGATTAAGAGCACATGTGTGCAATGGAGAATTTTCACGCAAATATTTTATAATTCTTTCTGATGTGGGAAACAGCATAAAAATAGATTTGAAAGTGAAAAAAGTGCACCGCCTAATGAAGTAATCTGGCAACATTTCCCATTCAAATACATGCAACTTTGTCATATCTCCTCCAGTAGTTGTTCAATTTGTTAACTAAGGGTATCCTCGTATGTTCAGTTCACTCAGTAGTTTCCACTTCAACAGGAAATTCAGCAAATTTCAGACACCTGCAAATTTTCCATTGTGCATGCCCGTGTCCTCGGTGAAATATGTGTGACACTCTCGGAAATCGGTCATTGATGATGACATAAATGTCAAGCATGATACCTTCAAAAGAGGTTTACCTCAAAGAAGGAATTTCAGTTGTAACTGAAAGTCACTAACTTTTTTTTAAAACAACATTTCCCGCTTTCAATATCCCGCTTTTCAATATTTCAAATATCCCGCTTTTTCCTATTTTCAAAAAGGAGAACAAACCACAGCAAAGGCAAAGGAGAACTTTCTCGCTTAAAATTTTTTCAGAGCCTTATTTTCTCTCACTTGGAGGAGAATTATAG